ACACACACACACACACACACACACACACACACACTGACAGGTTCGTTGCAATATGCGTATTTGCTGCCTGCTGCAGCGCTTTAGCGCTGCACGGCAAAAACGTATAACGTGAGAAGCTACACACGCATAAAGTCTGGGGGGAGGGGGGAGGAAAAACGGCAAATTTTACATATGCGATAGATCTTGTCAGTTTCGACTGATTTCTCTCTTAACTGTCCAAATAGGTCTCATATGCCACTATGCTAAATCAGTGCCAGGGCAATCGGTGCGGGAATCCCGCGTTCGCGAAACTACTGGGACATTCCCACGAGGCCGGTGCAGCTATGTCAAAACCTTTTGGTCCTTTGCTGCTTAGCTTACTTTTATGCTCGAGATATTCAAAGACGGCTCGCACGCCGTCCGGTGGAAGTTTTCGATTCAAAACAGTGTTAATGAACAATTCCGTATTCGATATGTCTGCCACGTCCAATGTGTATATCTTATGAAACTGACAATAGTCGACGACCAGTCGACTCCAAGCCTCCAGTTGCTTCTCGCGTGTCACTGATGTCGTCTGCAAACTGAAAACACAAAAATAAAATCTTCGAAAATTTATAGCTCCCGCACCAAATATTTTTTTGTTATTTCTTATGTTATTATACGTTTTGTGCTGTGTAACAGCAGTACAAAACGCATATTGTTACGGGGTTGTCTGTGTGTGTATGCGTTTGTGTCCGCAGCAACTTGTCCGCAACTTTCAACTCGGGAACCACAAAAGCTAGGAAGCTGGAAATTTAGGGTAACGTTTCCCGCAGCAACTTGTCCGCAACTTTCAACTCGGGAACCACAAAAGCTATGAAGCTGAAAATTTAACGCAGCAACTTGTCCGCAACTTTCAACTCGGGAACCACAAAAGCTAGGAAGCTGAAAATTTAAGGGGTGTCCGCAACTTTCAACTCGAGAACCACAAAAGCTAGGAAGCTGAAAATTTAGGGTAATGTTCCCCACCCACGTGTGACTGTCCGCAACTTTCAACTCGGGAACCACAAAAGCTAGGAAGCTGAAAATTTAGGGTAACGTTCCCCACCGCAACTTTCAACTCGGGAGATTGTTACGGGGTTGTCTGTGTGTGTGTGTCCGCAGCAACTTGTCCGCAACTTTCAACTCGGAAACCACTGTTTGTGTGTGTGTGTGTGTGTGTGCCCGCAGCAACTTGTCCGCAACTTTCAACTCGGGAACCACAAGGCTGAAAATTTAGGGGAACGTTACCCACCCACGTGTGACCCCGCAAATTTAAATTCAGCTCCCCCGTAAAAATTTAGGGTAACGTTCCCCACCCACGTGTGACCCCGCAAATTTAAATTCAGCTTCCCCGTACCTGCGGGAAATTTAGGGTAACGTTCCCCACCTACGTGTGACCCCGCAAATTTAAATTCAGCTTCCCCGTACCCACGGGTAACGCGTACAGCCCCTGTGAAAGTTTTTTACGGGTAAGTTAATATCTCGGGAACCACGGAGTCTAGGAGGCTGAAATTTTTGTGAAAGTTTTTTACGGGTAAGTTAATATCTCGGGAACCACGGAGTCTAGGAGGCTGAAATTTTAGCGTAATGACCCACTGTCCATGCTCAACCTTGCCCATTCAAATCATCCTCCCTTACCCGCAGAGATAATACGTACGGCCCCGTGAAAGTTTTTCACGGGTAAGTCACGGGTAAGTTAATATCTCAGGAACCATGGAGTCTAGGAG